AAAATTTCGATTTTGAAACAAGTTTTTTATATCATTCTAATGTTCCAAAGTTTGACTACGGAGATTATAATTATTTATCACTCGGTTTTTGGGTTTCGGGTTTTGAGTTTCGAGTGTCGGGTTATTGGTTCGAGTTTTGAATTTCGGGTTTCGGGGTTTCGAGTTTCGTTCTGATTTTGATTTCGGGTTTTCAGGTTTCTTGTTTCCGATTTTGGTTCTTTTCTAAAATATTAATTTTGATCATATCCGTCCAAAAAGCAAAATTTTAGTGCCGATAATAATGAAATTGAATGTTGTTTTTTTAGAATTAAATGATAATATTAGCTCTTATTGAATTTATATATAATAAATAGGATAAATTCCACTTTCCTCCTTGTACTTTGGCTCGATATTACTTTAACCCATTTCTACTCTTAATTGTATCGATTTGCCCCCTTGTATTTTGACTCGATATCACTTTACGTCCTTCTACTCTTAAATGCATTGATTTCCCCCTTTTTACTTTGGCTCGATATCACTTTACCCCCTTCTACTCTCAATTGCATCGAATCTCCCCCTGTACTTGAAAATTTGTCTCAATGTGGCCCTCGCCCTTAGTTTTCAGACCTTTAACCTTAACACCGTTAGATCGAAGTCTGAAAATTACTAAAAAGTCACCCCTTCCAATTTAAATAATTATTAAAAAATTAAAAGAAAAAAAAATAAAAAATAAAAAAATTCAAGACAACGAGAAAACATAGTCCACGACACCAGCCACAAATTTTTTTTTTAATAATTATTTAAATTGGGAGGGGTGACTTTTTTGTAATTTTCAAATTTAGATCAAACGGTGTAAATGTCAAATGTGTGAAAACTAACGGCGAGGGCCACATTGAGACAATTTTCAAGTACAAGGGGGCAAATCGATGCAATTGAGAGTAGAATGGGGTAAAGTGATATCGAGCCAAAGTACAAGGGGGCAAATCGATGCAATTGAGAATATAAGGGGTAAAGTGATATCGAGCCAGAGTATAATGGGGCAAATCGATGCAATTGAGAGTAGAAGGGGTAAAGTGATATCGAGCCAAAGTACAAGGGGAAAAGTGGGATTAATTACCCTAAATAATTATATGATAATTCATAATAGAAGTAATTGAATCTGATATTTCCCCAGATACAAGGCACTTTTGACTTTAATATCAAATGTAGACTTTTTAGCTAAGTAGTATTATTATTATTATTATGTATAGCACAAAATATTTAAGCAAAATGTGTTGCCTTTTTTAAATGCACTAAAAAGGCACAAAAAAAGAAAAAGGTAAATGAAAAAAAGAAGAGAGGAAGAAGAGTAGGTGTGAAAAGGATGGTGGCCGCGCTAATGTGCGCATGCCCTTTCGGAGCCGTTTGCGTGCGAAAAGTTGAAAATTGGTTTAAAGGCAAATATGGACTAATTAATTATTCCACCCTACTACACTTGCCTACTTGCGCGTGTTAATCACGACTTCCAAATTGCTCATTCTATGTGCAAATCATTTATTATTATTGCACTATTTTAGATGTATATTTATTTATGTTTTATTTACATACGACCGTATTTTAAATTTGTAAGAGCATAAAATGTGTAGTAGCATCTCCAACAAGTGGAGCTAATTTTAGCTATTGTAGAGTATTGTATATATCAACTTTTAGCTAGGACCGGCAATTGAGCCGGGCCTAACCGAAGCCCGATGGCTCGGCCCGATTATATTTGAACCGAGCCTACTTTTTAGTGAGTCGGCCCGAGTTTGAGCCATTTTACTAAACCCGATTTATTTATGAGCCGAGTTTGAGCCTACTATGGCGCAACCCGAATAAGGCCCCACCGATGAGGATAATAATAAAATATATAATATATTTATTATTTTAATACTATGACTCAACATACAAGTTATGACCGTATAAGATTGTTTAATTTTGCGAAGGCAAAAAGTCAAAATAAAAGGAGTTAAGTATTGACAGTGGCTATAAGTTAAATATGAATCAAATGCAACACATCACCGAGATTTGAGAATATAAAATGTTTCCAATAATAATAGTTATTAATCTTTTTTTACTTCTTTCGGTTTTATTTTCAAGTTTTTCCAATAACTTTCAACATCGTTTAGGGTTTTCTTTTTATTAGTTTGAATGGAGGTAAATCTTGTTCATCACTTATTTTTATAAAAAAAATTTACTCATTATAATTATATAGTAATGGGGCCCGATATAAACCCGAAACCCGAAAAAGTACATGAGCCGAGCTTGAGCCTATTCTAATGAGGCCCGATGACATGTGAGCTTGAGCCTATAGTAACGAGGTCTGATGGTATGTAAGCTTGAGCCGACCCAAGCTCGGCTCACATGGCCCGATTGCCAGCCCTACTTTTAGCTACTTAATCTAATAATACTTTTAGTGCTCGTTCGATTACTGCAATAAAGTTTTTTTACTGACTAAATAGTGGGGGTTAGTAACACACTTGGTTGACGAGATTTACACTTCTTCAAACTCACTACTAAAACCAAAATCCATTATTAAATACTACTATTTCATTGAATTAATAGCACTCTTCCCTCCATTGAGATTACTAAAACCAAAATCCATTATTAAATACTACTATTTCATTGAATTAATAGCACTCTTCCCTCCATTGAGATTACTAAAACCAAAATCCATTATTAAATACTACTATTTCATTGAATTAATAGCACTCTTCCCTCCATTGAGATTAATTCAATAGGGGTTGATTAAACGAGGAAAAGACTATTTTATCATTCAAACTACATGTTAATTTTATTAAATAAAATTTTTTACAGACTAAACAAATATAATACCATAATTTAACAGATGTAATACAAGATCTAATTCAATGAACTAAACGTTTTACTATCTAAATTATTAATTAATCAGCAGAAAATTAATTCGATTTCATCTGATCTAAACTAATCGATATAGGTAAGCGAATGGGCTCTTAAAATTTTAGCTAACTATTATATTGTATTTCAACCTTTTGCATTAAAATAGGAAAAATAGTGGTTGGGGAGATGATAGTTGAAATCTTTTGTCACCTTTGGAACAAATGGTAAGAAAAGAGAAGAGCTAAATTTTAGCTAGTTATCCAAATATGAAGGCCAATATGTATAATTTAGATGGTATGTAAATATTTAGCTCTTCATTTTGGAGAAGCATTTTTTAGATGGATATCTAGAATTTATGAATTTACATAACCAATAGCAATAATTCTCCTTGTTGGAGATGCTCAAGAGCATTTATATATATATATATATATATATATATATATGGATACATGTCTATTGTACCATGATTATGTTAGTGCAATAAAAATGAGTATATTGTAAATAAATTCTTGTGTTATTTTAAATTATTAAAAAACTATAAGTATTAAAAGTGATTAAATTGTTAGAAATAAGCATTTATTTACATCTTTACTCACAATCACTAACTCCTACTTAATCAAAAACTTTTACAAAATCTCCCATGTGTCTTTTTAGCTGTAATTTTTCTCCGTACTAAATAATTCTTTAGAATTTTGAGGCAAGATAATTTTTTGGCTAACTTTATCCTAACATTAATAAGAGATTAATGAAGCGATAAAGAGAACACAAAGAAAAAAAGATAATTTGGAAAATAATATTTTTGCTCCTAAAAATAAGAGCTAACTAATAACTTTATTTATTAGCGTCAATCAACCTTAAACAACACTTATAAAATGGAGGGACTATAGATTATGATACAATTACTTAGAAATTATGATATCAAGAAGTTTTAAAAGTTTCAATACAACGTATCCAAGACGGTATATAATCAGATGCTACATCTGGTTATTTACATTGAATGAGTTTCAGCCGTAGATTTATATATAATCACACACACATATTCATGTGTATGTGTTCTTAATTAATAATTATTTAATTAGATTTACGATTGAAATCCTAACGATATAAATAACCAGACGTAACATCTAACTTCCCGTATACCTCCTACTCCCACCTTTCAAAGACGCGTAGCCCCACGCGCAAATGTGCAAATGTGGGATTCCACAACGTCAATGATAGATGAGAACTAAAAAACAAAACAAAACGAGAGCTAAAAAAGGAGTCAATCTATAGTCATTGGCATTTTTTAGAGAGAGAAACTTAAAACGGAAAAATAGAAAGAAAGAAAAAAAGTTAGAGAGAGAAGCAAATAAAGTAGTAATATCTTTACCACTCATGAATCTCCTCATCTCATCCACCCCAAAAAGGTTCATTTTTCTTTCTTTCCTCACCTTTCCATTATCTTTTGGGGTTACTTTTTTTATTTTATTTTTATATATAAATAATTAAATTAAACAATTTATTTTTAAGTACTTTATTCCCCTTGATGCAAGAGAACAAGTGCATATATGATATAACTACCTACTAGTTTTATTTAATTATCCCAATTAAATATTTTGGATTCATTACACTAAAAAGTATGGTGGGTCACTCTCCCACGTAGATGTCAATTTTATTTAATTTTAATCTCTATTAATTGAGATAAAAAAATATTTTCTTCGGGAGTGCACTAAATAAACATACACTGTCGTATAATATCGTCCAAATTACATTAAGCTAACCGTGTACGAGAAGCTCGATCTGACGATGCTGGCAATAAAATTCGAACTTGGGACCGACTAGTAGATATAAAAAATATTTAAAATTAGCAAGAAAGTACCAAATTGTTTTATTTTAATATTTCCAGAAATCCTTGCAATAGAAAGTACTTTTCATGTTACTATTTCCCATAAATTCCTTTTAATCTCATTTTTTTTTCTTTTTTAACATCCCAATTGAGAAAACAATAAAACAAACACTTCTTTCTCTGACACCTTCTACTTCAACTTTTTAACACCTTTTGGATTTTTGTGCTTTATTTTTTTTCTTCTTTTCTTTTTATTATGCAATTAAATCAAAAAAACAATAAAATTTATTATGACATCACACCTACCTTTTATTTTTTCTTTTTCGCAATTTGTTTTATATTTCATTTAGGGATATTTTTTTGGGTGTCTTCAATGAAGAAAGAGATGGGGTTTTTCTGTGTGTTCATTCCTCATATCATCACCTCCTTTTAGAGAGAGAAACAAACTGTAGAGAGAGAGAGAGAGAGAGAGAGAGAGGGGTTTGTGTGAAGGAGCTTGTCCGATCTTTCGTTTTCGCGTTGAATTTCTAAGACAGCTTTTCTTCCTTTCTTTTATGGTTTCAGACATTCAAATACCCAACTCATATTACAGAACAAAAAAAAATTCATTTCCAAAAGATAGAGAGAGAAAGTAGAGATCATCATATCCAATAAAACCCAGATTATAAAGATTCAATCTTTGGGTTTTAATTTTCGATTTTCTGATTTTTGAGTTGAAGGGTCTTCTTATTTTTGTTATTAATTTCATAAAATTCAGATTTTTTCTGCAAATTATTTTTTTGTAATCAAGATTGTAAATAAGGGGAAAATTTGTATATCTGTATTTTAGATTTTCTGCAGATTAATTTATTGGAATTAGGAATTCAATATGAGAGCAGGGTTGAGCACTATCCAGCAAACCCTCACACCGGATGCGGCCACCGTCCTCAACCACTCCATATCGGAGGCCGGCCGCCGCAACCACGGCCAGACAACGCCGCTCCACGTGGCGGCGACGCTGCTCTCCTCGCCGTCCGGGTTCTTGAGGCAGGCGTGCATCCGCTCCCACCCAAACTCCAGCCACCCACTCCAGTGCCGGGCCCTCGAGCTCTGCTTCAGCGTCGCCCTCGAGCGCCTCCCCACGGCGGCGGCCGCCGCCCAGACCCAGAACGCCGCCGCCGCCGAGCCGCCGGAGCCGCCGATCTCAAACGCACTCATGGCGGCGCTGAAGCGTGCCCAGGCACACCAGCGGCGCGGCTGCCCGGAGCAGCAGCAGCAGCCCCTCCTCGCGGTGAAAGTCGAGCTCGAGCAGCTCGTTATATCGATACTCGACGACCCCAGCGTCAGCCGCGTTATGCGGGAGGCCAAATTCTCCAGCCCCGCCGTGAAAGCCGCCATCGAACAATCGTTGATTGCTCCCGCCGCACAACCCCACCACCACCACCACCAAATTCCGACCCGAAACGTGAGTTTCGGGTCGAGTTTCGCCCCGAGATTACTTCCCAATACCAGTCAATTGACAACCCCATCTCCGGTCGCCGCCCAATTGACCAATCGGAATTTATATCTAAATCCACGATTGCAGCCGCAAGGGGCAACAACTACAACAACAACAACAACCGGTCCGATCATACTGAATCAAAGAACAGAAGAAGTAAAGAAGGTGTTTGAAATAATGTCCAGAAGCAAAAAACGAAACCCGGTTCTGGTGGGCGATTCCGAGCCCGAATCCGTAGTGAAGGAGTTCTTGAAAAAAATCGAAACCAAGGAATTAGAAACCGACCAGAATTTCAAGAATATTCAGGTTGTATCAATGGAGAAAGGCCTTTTCTTATCCGATAAAAGTCGGATATTATCAAAGATCGAGGAATTGGGAAAGGAGATCGAGAGCAAAATTAGCAGTGGTGGGGTGGTTCTTGATTTGGGTGATTTGAAGTGGCTGGTGGAGCAGCAGCAGAAGCAGCCGGTTGTTTCCGAGATCGGGCGGGCGGCAGTGGCGGAGATGACCAAGCTGGTGGCCAGATTCAGCGGCGGTGCTAACGAAGGTGGCGGCGGTGGCGGCAAAAACAGGCTTTGGTTGATCGGAACCGCCACTTGCGAAACTTATTTGAGGTGCCAAGTTTATCATTCCACCATGGAAATCGATTGGGATTTGCAGGCGGTACCCATCGCTTCTAGATCGCCTCTTCCCGGAATGTTTCCCAGGTATATATTTTTTTGCCGCCTCAAAGTTTCGTTCTTGATATAATCAAAATCGAAACTGTGTCGACAATATTATCATTATCCGATTATAGCTAAAGTGACTCGTTTTATTTTATTAGGTTGGGAGCCGATCGAATTTTGAGCAATCAAATGGAATCTTTAAATCCAATGAAGGCTGCACCAAGTCCACCAATGCCTGGTTTAACAAGGCGTATATCCGAAAATTTGGATCCATCGTCTCAAAAACCGACCGTTTGCCCAAAGTGTATGGAGAATTACGAGAAAGAAGCGGCGAGACTCTCCGCCATTCAAAAATCGTTTTCCGAAGCTAAACAAGACGCGCCTAATAAACCATCTCTGCCTCAGTGGCTACAAAATGCCAAACTCAACACTACCGATTCTACGAAAACTACAGACGAAGCAACACAGGTATATATATTAATATATATCCGTCTTTCTTTGATTCGAAGGTGTTTGAAACTACTGTTTTATTAATTCAAATTAAATTTACGGGTGACTTATATTACGTATTTTTTTTTAACAGGGACTGCTTTCCAAGCAGAAAACTCAAGAACTGCAGAAAAAATGGCGAGACACGTGCTTGCATCTTCATCCTAATTTCCATCAAACGAATCGCCCCGATCGAGCGGGCCCACCTTCTTTATCGATGACGAGTTTGTACAATCCGAACTTGAACTTGCTCTCACGCCCGCCTTTCCAGCCTAAGTTGCAGACGATCAAACCAATCGGAGAAGCTCTTCAATTGAACACTAGTCAACTCGTTAGGACAGATCTTGTTCTTGGAAGGGAAGAAGAACGAGACAACGCCATCGTGTCTGAAAAACCCGCGAAAGAGAATAATCAAGATCAGGCTAAAGACTTGCTGAGCTGCATCTCGTCTGAGCCGCTGGCGAATAAGTTCCTCGAGAAATTCTCGAACGCGTTGGACGCGGATATGTACAAGAAACTCCTCAAGGGCCTCATGGAGAGGGCGTGGTGGCAGGCCGAAGCCGCCTCCGCGGTGGCTGCCGCCATCACGCGGTGCAGATTGGGCAACGGGAAAAAACGTGGGGGCGGGTCGAGGGGTGATGTGTGGTTGCTTTTCACGGGACCCGATAGGGTAGGCAAGAAGAAGATGGCCTCGGTTTTAGCGGAGCAAATATGTGGGGGCCGCCCCGTGACGATATGCCTCGGTAGAAAAAAACGGGACGATGAAGAATTGGATATGAGTTTTCGAGGTAAAACGGCCGTTGATAGAATTGCGGAGGCGGTTCGGAGAAACCCGTTTTTAGTGATCGTGCTTGAAGATATTGACGAGGCGGACGCGCTTGTGCGCGGTAGCATAAGGCGGGCGATCGAGCGTGGGAGGATTACCGATTCGCACGGGCGTGAGGTGGGTTTAGGGAATGCGGTGTTCGTCGTCACGGGGGATTGGTCCACCGTTGATCCGGAAGCTTCTAGAAGCGATCGGTTCTTGGACGAGGATAAGCTCGCGTCTGTCGCGGGCGGGAGTTGGCAATTGGGACTTATAGTGAGAGAAAAAACGGCGGCGAAACGGAGGGCAAATTGGTTGTTGGCGGAAGAAAATGGGCCCGCGAGGCGGGCGAGGAAGGAAGCGGGGCCCGGTTTGTCGTTGGATCTCAATCTTTCGGCCGATGGATCGTCGGTGAATTCGAGCGATCTCACCAATGATTACGAGGATGACGAGATGGATTTTGCGGTTGACCGGAACTTCTCGATTACGTCGGTGCCGCACGAGCTGGCGAGCAATGTGGACGAGTCGATAGTGTTCAAGCCGGTGGACTCGGGGTTTGTTCGGAGGGAGATCAAGAAAACTATATCGGTGAAATTCTCGATGGTCGTGGACGAGGATTTGCCGATTGAGGTTGGGGATGATGTGGTGAAGAAGATTTTGGGAGGTTTGTGGCACGACCGGACGAGTCTCGAGGAATGGATGGAGAATGTTGTGGGGCCCGCTTTCGATCAATTGAAGAAGCGGTTACCTTTATGCGGCGATCGGAGCAAATCGGTGGTTCGGTTGGTGGTGGAGTCGGATTCGAGTGACCGGGGGAAGAGCACGGGTGGTGAAGATTGGTTGCCTAGTAGTATATTGGTGTAAAGACTAAAGAGTTTGTTGCTAAGGGGTGAAAATGATATTTTTTTGTTTTTGTGGGGGTGTTTGTGTAAATATTATAGCAAAAGGGGGGTTTGGGAAATTTAAAGAGATAGATGAAAGGAGGACAATCGTTGAGAGTGAGTGAGATGTTGACAGGTTAACGAATCTTCAACAGCATTCAATCACTTGTTCTTTTTTTTTTTTTTTTCTTTAAATTGTATAATTTTGATATTTATTACTAGTTTATTTATTTATTTTATGGTATTAATAATGTGTTGGTATCAATTGTTGTTAGTACAGGGGAATAAATGTGATGAATAAAATTGAGGGCATGGGTTTAATTTATTTATTTTTGTGGTTTACATATTAATTAATTTATTTGTGTGTTTTTGTTTATGAGGGGTATTATGGTCATTAGGACCAGCGACTGTAAAAGACGCGCGGGGTGGTCAAGAGGCGGTCGTCGTACTGATTGACGGTCAAAAATGAACTTTTTGCTTTGATAGTTTTGGTGAAAAAAGTGGGGCCCAGGTGACGTCATTTTGGTGAAGAAGCTCTGCGGAAATCACGTTTTTGCATGTGCAACGTGTCGCGTTCCCCGGGAAGATTTAATAGAAATTAAAAATTAATTGGCGCTCGAAACAACACACTACCGACGTCGAAAAAGAAAAATAAATAAATAAATAAATACTAAATAATAGCATCTTTTACCATTTCACCCCTCGATTTCAAGTGGACCCGTTGTTTTATATTTACTAGCATTTTTTCCCCATGCGATGAACGTGATATTATTTCAGAAGTAAAAAAAAAATCAATTTGATACATAATATGAAAAATATAGTACATTAACATAGTAAACTTTATTAATGTAGTATTACTCGTATTTTATATAACATTAGTTTTTTTAAAATCTTACAAATTAAGATTTATAATCCAAATATATAGGTTTAGATTTAACAAATCGAATTTCTATCTTTATATATTAAGATTTAAGATATATTGATGAAAAATAGGAGATTAATAATTGTTGAAAATTAATACATAAAAAATATCAAAGATAAATAATTACAGAAATACCATTAAGATTTTTAAGGTTGCCCAGCGTTTCTTTCTTTTATATATAAGATGATTATATAAATAGAGTTACATTTATTAAAATGAGAAATATGCAACTCCACCTAGTTGTTTGTCCCTAGTAATGAAATTTTAATAAGATAGTTGACTTATATATTCGCCACATTAATTGGGAGAGTTAGATATCCTTTACATGGAAATGTTAAGTGTCGTTTCAATTTTACTAATATCGTTTTGATTTCGAACCTGATTTTGACATATTTTTATTTTGATTTTGGAAAAATTCGAAACAGGAAAACTGTAGTTCTTTGAGTTAGCTTTCTAATCCAACTTAAATCCGCTAAATTGGATATTGTGTGACAAAGTTATGCATGAATGAGTCACATTTTGAATTTATACATCAAAGTTGTGGGCAGTATCCATTAATTCATGTATATCTTTCTCGTCCGACTTCTAATTTTGGTGATTCAACTTGGATTAGAAAATTAACCCAGAATACTACGAATTATATTTTTTGGATTTTGCAAAATTTGGAATTAAAAATGATCAAAATCACATTTGAAGTCGAAATAGTACTATTAAAGCTCGAACGACATTTATCACATCCCTTTGATTAAATAACTATTCAGTAAACACACATATGTGTATAATTATGTATAGATTTATGGTTCATCGATCTAATGCGTCAACCAAATCTTGTCATTATGCCCCAATGTCAAAAATTGCTGCTTTTGTCCATCGAACATGGACATTTTCTTTTTTCCAATTTATATATATATTTGATTTCGAAGTCAATTTTAATAAATTAATTATTACACTGAGATACTTTTAAAACGTTTACTTTTAAACCGTGGATTGTCGTCGTTTCTAACGAGTGAACCAACGATTCATGACCTGTATGTGTTCATATTTAATAATAACTAATAAAAAAAATTAACGCACTTCCCATGTAACAGTGACTTATTTAATGGAGTAAGAGATAGTAAAAATCAAAGGACTCGAATCCAAAATCATTGTCAACAGTTTACAGGTCGAGTTTCTCACGGCTTATGTCTACTTGTGTTTTTATATTTTTCGCTTGGTTTATAAGTTATTGCATATGCCAATAGAGTTAATGTTTACATATAAAAATAGACAAATTGATGTTCTTAATATTGAAGCAAATCATTGTTCCAGCTCTCTTTAAATTACAGCTTTTGAACCACCTCAATTAATTAATTAAATAATGTGACGATCACTATTATATTGAAGTTATAAATGAAAAGGTGAAGCTTCGATATCAAATATTTATAACTTCACGTGGGTCGCACGTGCCCAGTCTTAATTTTGGGTATCATCTTCATCTGTGTTACACTGACGTGACACTATACTCATCTTAACATTTATATTATTTATTTATGTAAATATTCATAAAAAATTAAAAAAATTGAAGTATGAAAGATAAAGATTGTATATATATGTTCGAATTAAGGTTTGACTTGAATTTGATATGCTCATTTATTGAGTTAATTAAGGATTAAATTAAAATAAAGATTCTCCTAATTAATTTCATATGACTTTATATTACAGTAGTGACGTCACCAAAATCTCATTATTCGATCTCTCTAACGTGATTATATATATATATATTTATATATATAATTGCGTAACAAAGATTCTGATTATATCATATTTTATACACTTATGAAAAGTGTTTTTGTGGTTCCCTTTTGGCCATGATACTAAGAATCAACCAAATAACAGAAAGATGAATCACAGATCGCAAATAATTAAATAAATATTAATCAATTAATTAATTAAAAAGAAAATCTATTTTTAGCCATTTTGACAATCAACAAGTATTTAATCAGCTTCTTGATTTTCTGGTTTTCGTGATAAATTCAGGCCGACTTAATACATGAATTAATATATATATTTAATTAGCCAAGAGACAAAAAAGAAAAAAAGAAAAAAAAATTGTTTAAGAGCCATTGGCTATTTCAAGAGCCACACAAAATAAAAAATTAAAATAATAATTAAAATGAAGTCACAAAAAACCCAACTCCCAACAATCAATGCATGAAAAAGAGGGCTTTCCAAAAAAGAGACATCTTCTTTGAATGTGGACACAACTACAATTATATAATTAAATTAAATGAATAAATTACATTTGCACCCTCTGAGATATGCTAAAATGATTTAAAGTCTATGTAGTATAGGTAATTTACAGCCACACCCTTGAAACAATTATCGGAGCCAATATTTTATGCCCTGGGGAGCGATATGCGTTATATTTGTTTCGCGCGGGGCCGTTCAGGCTACCATAGATGAAAATTTATAAATCTTATATAAAATAATAATAATTTAAAAAATACTAGGAGAACCATATCACCCCTAGCTCTGTTTTAGGAGGTGATTGTAATTACTGATATTGCAGTAACCTTAAAGTTATTTTCGCATACATTAGGGGGTGTAGGTGTAAATTACCCTTAAATAAATAAATGAAAAGGCAATTAATTAAATCAACCAACAAAGACAAAAATGTTGCATTCGTGGCTTATAACAAATTGTCAATTCCCCTCAAGCCATGCATGTGTTCTCATTTATTATTACGCCCCTAATTAATAGTTTTCCTTTCACATTTGTCCCAATTAATTTATTTATATGTTTATATATAAAAAAGTATTATTGCCACCCACAACAAGTTGTTTGGACCAAGTATTAAGTGTATACCTTTTCAATTGCGGCGATGAGGTTGACACATTTGTTATTTCTTCTCATTGTGTGTTACATTTTGGGCCAAAAATAAACACTCTTTCAATCTCATAAATTGAATTCATGTGATTAAATAATTAGCTATGGTGCACGGACACGGATACGTGGACACGGCGATACGCGGATACGGACACGGTGATACGGCATTTCCAAAAAACTAGGATACGGACACGTGGGGGATACGCGTAAATATAAAAAATATAGGGGTATATTTATAAATAATAAAAATATAGGGGTACATTTATAAATTGTAAAAAATATGTATAAGTCGTCATCGCATAAGAGAACCACTCGCCCTTGTTGCTCGTGTTCTTGATCGCCGTCGCATGCTAGACTTTTGGAGTTTTTGGTGGACTCACAAAGAAAACAGAGGAAATGTGTATTACAGAGAAAAGAAAATGCGCATTTTTTTTATTAGAGCTCTCCTTTACAACGTAAGAGAAGTATCCCAACTTTTTTAAAATTGTGGACACTGCCCGATACGGGTGTCCTACTTTTAGCGAAATTACGACACGGCCCGACACGGGTGTCCGAGAAGTGTCCGGGAGTATCCGAGTGTCCAGGTATCGGATACGGGGACTCTTCACCTTCTAGAAGTGTCCGTGCAACATAGATAATTAGAACTGGATTTTACTTTATGTGCTCATGTGATAAAAAAAGAAAATAATCCTTCTTTCAAAAAAAAAATGATTTCTTTAGTATGTTTATTGTACTGAAATTGACGACAACTAACTATAGTCGACTATGGTAATTCGTACTAGTGTTCTTTTTTACCCAACAGTTATGGTCGGCCAATTATCCACATACACCTATACACCTGATTATATTCAAAGAAAAATTCATCCACACTAATAATAAAATTTACAATTTAAAATACTTATATTATAAATCAGCTCGTAACCAACAAATACATATCGAACAATACACCATCGCATGCATATGTTACTACATGTAACTATAGTAATATATAGTAAAATATGCAGTTTAATTTGTAGTCGATTATAGCTTGGAATAATACATATGTCAAATTCTATTATTATTATTATTATTATTATTATTATTATTAAGACAACGCGTTGTAAATTTATAAAAGTGCAAGGAAATTTCAAAGTTGGTCCATTAATCATAATATTTGTGGCATTAATAATACCGCGTACATGCCAAAGTTCGTGGACTTTGAAATATTAATCTTATATGTGTAGTTTCTCGTGATACTTCATCTTGACTTTTAAATATTTTAAAGCACGCGTTTTTTATTTAGTCAAACAAAAATTGTCAAGAACTTTTTTTTTTTTTTCCTTTTTCAAAGAAGAAATTAAAAGGTTCTTGTGAATGATATGTACGAAAAAAACCTCTCTTTCACACATACATGAAATTAAACTGAATTTACGTGACCGAATTTGGCATCGATAAGAGAGTGTTGTACTGTCTATTTACTCGAGTTCGAATTTATTTTTTCATATTTTCTAGGTAAAATTTGTTGCGCATAAGTAATCCGGTGTGATTTATATCTCTCGTGCAGTATGCGAGATATTATATTGTACGAGTAGAGTTTATTTAGTGCACTTTTGAATTCAGTTATATCATTTGTATGTGTTGAAATTTACAAGGAAACACACGACTACTTAAATTGTACTAGGTAGACGCTTTCTTACGTGTAATATAATAGTTCGTAAACAGTATAAAAAATGTAATTCACAGTTGAGTAATCATATGTCACAAGTTCGATCTAACAGGCGTTGGCAAATGAATTCTAATTACTCGAGTACTGCAATGCTCAAGTGAAAGATCATATTTCAAATTCATCGAAGAAAATATTAACCGTCAATTAAATTAGATCGTGAAATATATCATTTTATTATTTTACAAAATCTAATAGTAAATAATCACGTTAAACATGGCTAAAATTACCTCTAAGAAACAAAATTGAAAATAAATGGATAAGCGTTATAGCCTCACAAACAACACTGTTACACACAAATGTGTGTGTATAACATTACATACACAGACATGAAAAGATAGGTATGGTTCTGGGTTTTAATGATGGAAAAAGAAATTATAGGGTTGTTTTTGTCAGAAAGCAGAAAAGGTGGGGCATGAATAGTAAAGAAGGCAGGATGCCCTGGATCGCCTTTACAACTTTATATTAGCTGCCCCGGGCAGCAGTCACATCCGCCTTTTTGTAATAAAGACAAATTGCTATCTCAACCACCTATGCTCCCCTACTTTCATTTTTAGTCCTTCAACGTTTACTAAAATTTGAGTTCACCCCATAACATTTTAATGAGATGACAAAAAAGTCCAATTTGCTAGTTATTTGCGAATATTGGATTCATTTATGTTGTATAAAATTTGAAGATGATCTATGTACTAATAATCAAATTTTGTATTTATAATAAGTTTGATACATGATTATGGTATAATTGGTAAGTTAATCATTTATACTCTATTACATTATTGAAAATATTAATATTAAATGATATATTTCACTAACAACTTAAGTCTTTAATTGAGATGATCATTCAACATGATATCAGAGACATGTCAAATAAAAAGATCATGAGTTTGAATCCCAACGCTACCCATTTCAAATATTTCAAGTGCAATACTTCAAATGTAATTCGCTGAACTTGAGAGGGCAGATTGAAAATATTAATATTAAATGATACATTTCACTAACCTAAGCTTTTGATTGATGTGGTCATTAAACAATAGTAAACGAGTATCCATAGATATGAAAATTATAAATATAGTCCCGCAAGATATAGCCTAGCAGTTGAAGCAAGTGATCTATGTTAATTAACCAAAACTCGAATTTCCTTATATGTTTGGCTGCAAATTCCTTCATTTCCCAAAAAAAAAAGTTATAAATATAATTATTTCAATAATAAAAATAATGATGTCTTAAATTCCACATGTGAAAGCCAATATCTATTTGGGCTTTTTTCCAACTCATGGTCCATTTTGTTTCATTCAGCCCATATCTTTCCTTGTCAATGGGCTTTTAATTCTAAAAAAACACAAATAAAAATCCAATCTTTTTTTTTCTTTTTTTTTTTTTTTTGTGAGAAAATAAAAATCCAATCTTGATTTCCCAAAAATTTCGTTATTGCAAGGGGAAGCAACACGAGAGACACAAAAAAAAAAAAAAAAAAAATTAAAAAAATAGTAGCTTACAAATCCATCCAAACGCGGCCTTAAATCACTCCTAGTTGAGTTTCTAAAAAAACCTTCCACTGTGTGTGTAGTGTGTGTGTTGTGAGTTCTTGGATAATGTTGTTAACAGTGAGGCAAATTTCTTCTTCTCTTTGCTCCACCGCTTCTCTCTCACACACTTCCCTCTCAAAAAACCGTTCTTTTTCCGACAAACCTCCTCGTAACTATGTCGTCAGAAACCACCGCAGCTCTACTTGCAGAGCCACTCTCACCGTCCACAGAAACAACGGCGCCGCCGCCACCACCGCCGGCAAACGGAGGTAATAAAACCCATGAATTTCCCAATTGTCTTATTGTTTTGATTGTTCGAGGTTTTCTTGTTCGTGTAAAGGGTTTCTTTATTTTTCATCTATTTTCTTGAAAGTTTCAATTTTTATTTTGAATTATTGCTGTATGGTTCAATTTTTATGCACATTTTCAAATAATTAATGAAAATTCGGAAGCTTTAATTAATTTGATGTCTTTAATCACTCGATTTGGTTGGTTAATTGAAGTGAGCAAGTCACAAAGTTATATAGATTCTTCTGAATTTTAGGAGCATACCTAAGTACTACATATCTTTAGACATAGGATTTACTTACCAGGTGTTTAGTAAGTCGAAAGAGATAGAGGTGCCCCGAAAGATGACTGCTTAAATCAAATAATTCCGTGAAAAATAATATTTACAAATTTGTTCCAGCATTTTCCCCAAATTACTGATACCTGTTACGGTTCTTGCATTTCGTTATTTTTTTTAGACATTAGGTTTGGTTGAAGATTTTTTCTTGCATAATTTCTGTCTAGTGATTATTATTTTTGCACTATAAAACTCATACGGTAAGGTTTAGACATGGTTATGAAACTATCGAACATTGATTCGTGCTTCGACTTGGACATTTATATAGAACTTGAACAAGCTTCTAGTCGATTCCATGCGATTGCCTCTTATGAAGAGAAAAATTTTGGGAAAAAATGATGCTTGATATTGTGGCTTTATTTGTTTTCGTTTTAACCAATTAGAAAAATATTATTTCTTCAATCAGAACTACTTTCTCTCTTTCATTAGTAATTTGTTTGTGAAAAATACTTTCATTATGAACCAGGAAAAAAATCCCGGAGAATCGTGTTGCTCTTTAATGCTTATGCTGCTCTGAAATGAGCTGTTTATACTCGATTCTTGAAATTGAAGTTCAATTTTTTTTTTTTTTTAAATTTCTGGTCATTGTTTTTCGTTCCTAACATTGTTAATTTTTAACACAAATTGACTTTCTTGATTGATTTTTTATTTTCCTAGCCACGAAACCTCCGTATTTGACCCGCTTGGAATAAATCCAGACGGACTATCCGATTTAAAAACTGCATGGGAAAGTGTTCTACAAATATTTTCCGAAACACTAAATAGTACCTCCGGCACAAGAAAAGACAAATCCTCATCAACACGAGGAGCCGCAGGTTTATATACAAACCACCATCACTTTTATTCACTACAAAACACTTTCGACAATTTTTTTTTTTACCTTACTGCCCTTAACCCTCGATTAGGAAATTCTCTAAAAATTTTCCAGCTGCTATCGAAGACACGAGCATCGATTTTGGAGATTTTTTCAAGGGCCCACTTCCTGGAAAATTCCTCAAGCTTCTGGGATTTTTAGCACTCTCTCGACTCGGAATATATATACCACTTGGCGGTGTAAATAGAGAGGCTTTTGTGGGTAATTTGGATTCAAACAGCTTATTGGGTACTTTGGATTCGTTTTCCGGAGGGGGTATTGGTCGACTTGGGATAGGCTCTCTTGGTATAGTGCCGTTTATCAATGCGCAGATCGTTTTTCAGCTTCTTACTCAAATATATCCTAAGTTGCAAGAACTTCAAAAACGAGAAGGCGAGGCTGGGAGAAAGAAAGTATTGCAGTATACTCGCTATGCTTCGGTTGGATTTGCGGTTGTGCAGGTAAGGCTCTGTTTGGATCAATGAATATGAGGCTACTCTCATTTTCCACATTTCGAAATCCATGAACCAAACGAAGCCTAAATAAACGAATAGACGATTTTTTTCATTTTACTATTATTATTGTTGCAGGCGATCGGCCAAGTACTGTTTCTTCGTCCTTACGTGAACGATTTCAGCACGGAGTGGGCTATTTCTTCGATTATAATGTTGACACTCGGCTCGGTTTTCACGACCTACATTGGAGAAAGAATTACCGATTTAAAAATCGGAAACGGTACCTCGCTTTTGATTTTCACGAATATAATATCGTATCTTCCAGCTTCGGTTGGACGGACGGTTTCTCAAGCATTCGGAGACGGCAATTATGTCGGACTTGGCGGCATAGCCGTTTCCTTCTTCTTGCTCGTTCTTAGCATTGTATACGTTCAGGTGAGTGATTTACTTTTTCCAAGGCCTCGTTTGGTTCGTAAAGTAATCCATGATTGATTAGATAATTAGGTCGTATTTGATGTTTGGTTAGTAAAAAACTTTTCGGTCGGCCTGGTTAGCAATTATGAGGAGTTTGTATTTGAACTCCGCTATACAATTGGGTTCTTAATAGATTTGTGTAGTCTTATCTTGATAACCAAACAAGGCCTAACATTTCGGGCCGATCACTGACTCTGGAAAAAATGGTTCTAATCTTGGCTAATTGCGAGATTATTTATTGGAACACTATAATCGGGTTTTCATAAAATTATTTTAGAAACCAAACAAGGCCTTAATACAATTCGGCTCTCATAAAATTGCATAGTCTTATCTTGATAACCAAACGAGGCCTTAACTACTGCATGAATTATTCTATTTTTAGGAAGCAGAGAGGAAAATACCACTTAATTATGCCTCGAGATATACCGGTGGAGGTGGGGGGCTTCAGAAATCCGCTTACTTGCCGTTTAAGGTAAGTAATTACCCCCTCTCTTTTTTTTTACTGTAGTATTTTCACTCGATATGTTTTTATTATATATTAGCATTTTATTTATTTATTTAATTGAATATGTTTTTTATATATAAATTTAACAGGTTAATAGTTCTGGGGTGATGCCAATCATCTTCTCTACTTCATCATTGGCTCTTCCAGGAACTCTTGCCCGATTTACCGGCATCAGTTTTCTAAAGAAGGCTGCTGTAGGTTTAAATCCCGGGGGTACGATAAAAAAAAATTTAATAATATATATATATATATATATATATATATATATATATATATATATATATATATATATATATTATATATATAGTAGAACCTCGATAAATTAATAAATTAATAATTCGCTAAATTAATAGAATTTCCCTAGTCCCGACTGTATTAATTTATAGAGGTTTAACTGGATATATATTGTGTGCGTGTGTGTGTAAATGTTTTTAAATTAGGTTCATTAAATATGTTAGATAATAAATAAATAAATAAATTTCAGGTTCACTATACTTGCCAACGAACATTCTGATGATAGCCTTCTTCAATTACTACTACACGTTTCTGCAATTGGACCCCGATGATGTCAGCGAACAGTTGAAGAGGCAAGGTGCGTCGATCCCGCTTGTCCGGCCCGGAAAAAGTACCGCCCAATATATCAAAACGGTAAAAAAATAATTTCGTATTCTCGATGAACATATATATTATTTTTTTTTTTCACGGAATAAATAAATAGTGTTAATGTGTGTTGTGTTTTCTTGATTTACGGTAGGTTCTGAGTCGGATATCGGTACTGGGTTCGGTCTTTCTGGCGATTCTTGCAGCTGGTCCAGCTGTCATCGAACAGGCAACACACTTGACGGCTTTTAGGGGGTTTGCGGGTACTTCGGTTCTAATTCTCGTCGGTTGTGCGACTGATACTGCTAGAAAAGTTCAGGCGGAGATTATTTCGCAGAAATACAAGACGATTGAGTTTTACGACTCCGACAAATATTGAACAGAAATTGCACATAACAACACCTGTAATGAATTGATACATACAACATTTGATTTAAGATGGTGATGGTTCTTTTGTAAATTTTGCAGTTTTTGTTCGGAAGGTCTGTTTGAATATAGCTTCTAATTTTGCTATAATTTTGAGATATTTTTTTTGCTTCATTAATAAACTTCTGTAATTGTTGAAAATATACATTAAAAAAAAAAATCACTAAATAGTGGTAAAGTCAACTCATCTGTGGTCAATTATATGACACATTTGGTGAAGTGTATTTGTGTGTGGTTACATGATTACCGTTTATATATAGATAGACCAACACAAGTGTGTGTATTTTTGTAAACAAAATGAAGGGGCAATTTGCTAAAAATCCTTGGACACTGATACTCTTTTAAATTTTTTTTTTGAAAAGTTATTACTCTTTTAAATTAGGATAATCCCGCTCTCTGACACTACTATTATCGAAGTTTTGCCACACAACCACACACAAACAAACACCGCATAATCACGCCTACATTACACTCATTCGCCTTCGTTGTAACCCAAAAGTCAGAAGAATTGTTTGTTGATGGTGATAGTAATGTTGGTGGTGATGTACGCACTTGAGATTTAAGTTTTTTTTTTCTTTTCTGTAGCTTATTTTAATTGAGTTGTGTAATTAAGTATTGGGAATATTATGTGAATATTATATTTTAGGTAGTCAATATTCTTGAGATGGTAATTATTCTTATGTTGACTATAGCATATATTTAGGCGTGTGAATATTTGCCTAATTAGGTAACTATTTGATTGTATACTAATCGGTGAAGGAAAGAGAAGCAGACGAGAAGGTTTTCCGCTAAACTCTGTGTTCTGTTATTAAGCTATACAAATAAGTTGTTTTAGCTGTCTAGCTTCATAGTAAAATTACATGAAAAACATGTTTTTTTCTCTAAACTTTTGCTCGTTAATGTAATTAAACTTTGTAAATAAGTTTTCTAAGTTGTCTGTGTAAGTTGTTTATATGTTCTGGGATACATCTACTCATATTTTACTTTTTTGTTCAGTTTATTTTATAGTTTTTTAATATACTAAGAAGCTATGTCGTTGTTACTGTTAGTTCTCCTACACAATTCCGTTAGAGATACTCCAGACCTAGCGTTAGATCCAGAGCGCCGAAAGCACACAAGAACTTTTAGCACAAAAAACAAAATTCATCTGTACTCGTAGCTATAGAGAATTATTTTTAGGGACTTCCAGCTAATTTTCCCATTATACAATAATCTTTTCTAAATTTTCCAGTCAAGTTATTTGAATAACAAGTAAACAAAAGACACTTGTCACTGTTAGATTGGGCAATAATCTTTGTACACTTGCCAAATAAGAACTCAAAAAGTAGCAACTAAAACTTAACCAGAGGGCTCAGTTCCACCATATGGAACACATGCTAATCTTAAACACTAGTAAATATGGCAAACCAAACTACTTAATTATACAAAATGTCTATGGTCTTATATGCATCCATCTTACTAAAGACCATACTACTTTTTTTTTTTCTTGATAAACTAATCATCGGGCTCGACCGAAAAATCGGGCTCCTCGGGCTTCGGAAGTTTCGGCAAGCCCACATCTTTAATCTTCTGAATCCCCCTTCTCGTATTCGTCGCGAATCTCGAAGCCAAGATCGCAACCCCTAAATCCGATTTCACCGTCGAGGGGGCAACCGTAGTTCCCTCTTCGGCATAGGACTCGATTCTCGCGAGATCCCTAGCCATCTTTCTCCTCTTGTACCTCCGCCACGCGGCTTGTACAAAGCAAGCGGCCCACGTCCTCCAATGGTGGGAGTAGAATCGAAACGTGTGCTGCAGTTTTTTGCTATGGAGCCGCCTAAATTGGTTGGCCACGAACTTGAGATCTTCGGCCCGCAGTGCGAAAGCTTCGACTTCGCCGAGGGCTACGACGGTCCTTGTTGACGATGGGAAATTGAGGGCCGATTTGGGGAGGAGGGCCCACGCGAGTAGCTCCTCCCCGCAGAAATCTCCGGGCCTTAGGGTTATGGAGTTGAAGAAGCCCGTTCGACCACCGTTTGTGGTGGAGCTCTCGAGACGGCCTCGGATCACAAAGAGCATCTCCGTTATGGGGTCGCCCTCGCGCACGATGTAGGTCCCCTCGGTGCTCAGTGTAGAAACGAGACGCTCGCATATTGCGTCGAGTAATTGGTCGTCCATTTGCGAGAAAAACGGGACCTGACAAAAAAAGTAGGATCAAAAAGAGGTACAAACTGGAGAATACAACTGACATTCCAACAATATATATATATATATATATATATATATATATATATATATATATATATATATATATATATATATATATATATATATATATATATATATATATATATATATATATAGACACACACATATATATATATAGATACACACACACACACACACATACATATACCGTACCAAGGGCGAGTCGACCACCCTAAATCGATAAATTTTCCCCTAAATTATACCTATATATCTATTTAGCCCTCCAAATTTTGTTAATTAACCCACCCAAAATTCAAATTAATGCAAAAAAGCCCCAATTTTAATTCTTTAGCCCACCCAAAATCAAAATTACACGGAAAAAACCCCAATTTTTATTAATAAGCCCACCTAATATCGAAATTAATGCAAAAAAATCTATAAAAAATAATTCTTTTCTTTTTCTCTTTTTCCTAGTTTCTGATTTAGTCACAAAAAAATCCTCAAAAAAATTTCGGGGGTAGGGTTCTTTTTGCTAATACTGATAACAAGGGGAGTTTTTTAGCAATTCGATATAACACAGGGGTAACAAATGTAATAAAATTATAATATAATATAACTTGTCATAGCATTTAAATATAAGAGGGGGGAACCGGAGAATCGTACTCGTCGGACAAGGTCCAAGCAAAGGTGGCGTTGAATATCACGACTTAGATCAGCAGGCAAACCATTCAAAATAGCTTCTTCGTTTACTCCTCGAGTTGCGAGCCATTTATATTGAACAAAACGCCTAACGCGCGTTCTCAAATCTTCCGGAAGTTGACGGTGCCTCATCCACTCCTCCGTGTCTCTTCGTTTGAGTCTCCATTCCTCAAGTCTCATCGTTAGTGACTGCAAGTATGTCTACGCGGAAAAATATATGGGATTAAATCACATAATTCTCGTACAAAATGGTATAGTGTATATATATATATATATATATATATATATATATATGTAATATTTACCTGCATATTTCCAATAAGATGTGCAAACAAAACAAGACCCAAGATTGCGATGAGAATCGCAAAAGACGTTTCTTCGATAAATGTGCTCGTTGACAAATTCTGCCCGTACGAACTGACAGCACAAAAAGAGAGACTGAGTTTTACTGTAATGCCCCTCGTTTTGGAAATAAGGATAGGACTTGATAGACAATATAATCAAGATGTATCAAATGTTCGGGGCTTAGGTTTGAAGCCCGTGATTAATCTTATCAATCCCATCAACATTCACAAACGAGGCCTAATAGTTCGATACCCAATGTGATAAGTTCAACGGGATATAGAGATGTACCTTAAGTTCTGTAGGCCCCACCACAGGCAATAGAAGTACTTTCGGACAAAACTCGAAGAGACGACTTGTTTCGCGACGGCATTTCCGAATATCCCAAATTGGAATGTAATATCTTCGTTAGGATCACAACTTTTGAACACATTCGTAGTGTTGATCCAATTACTGTATTGTCCAGTTCCGGAAAAACCGCAATTCAAATATTCGTGCAAACATTTCGTAGGGATTTCTTCTTTCTTACATGCCGATTTCAAGCAAGACAAGTAGCGATCGATCGACAGTACGTACCATGCTGCACCCAATACCTAATAACAATCCCATAAAAATTAAATTGAGAAACAAAACATTTTTTCAAGCAAAAGAATAACAAATTACGAATATGATATAGTAAGAGTTTATTGCATTTAGCACCCCTTTGTTTACACTCATTGTCGAAAAACTCCCCGTTTTATAAATATTAGCAAAATCGCCTCTATGATTCTATTGTATTAGCAAACTACCCCCTAGAAGCGTACCATTTAAGGGGTTGTGTGAATAATGCATCATAGGCGTTTTTTGCTTTTATTTATAACACGGGGATTTTTTTGACAATAATGTAAATACAGGGGGTGCTAAATGCAATAAACTAACGAGAAAATTACGTACATGGCTTGCGAGCATGTAGAGAACTAAATTGTAGGCAGCACCCGCCCAAGCAGTTTTGGTGACAACCCCCGTTGCTTTTATAATTTGCGAACTCAACGGGAAAATGAGGTATAATCTTGGAATATACTGGAATAGTACAATCAGAGCAAGTGCATTGTTATTCTGATTCGTTCGGTGGTTTCGTAACTCCGGTATAATGAACCAAATCACAATCTGTAAACGAGGAAATCGGATAACGAACCAAAAATCAAGAATCACATGCAACACAAATCATTTTCAAGAAATCGAAAAAAAATAAATAAAACTTACCTGAGGCAGGGGTAATGTGGCAACTAAATCGATGAAGAAATCGGATCTTATATATCTTCGAGAAATTTTATCGGGATCCATTACAAGCTCGCCCCTACCGAAAACCCGCGAGCTAGGTGCAACGTAAGCTGTCCTAAATTTAACGAAAACGTGCAATAGGTAGAAAATATCCGCGATGGTGCGGAAAAACGTGACGACGATTCGCAAGTTCAAATCCGTTTTCGAACACCAAGAACCGTCTTTTCGTCCTATACTCGGCAAGTAAAAGTACAACGGGTCGATGAATAGTGCCATTAGACAAGTGACTATGAAAACCCTGTTCCAGTTCAGCACGATTTCACTACCCGGGTCGAGTATATGCTTGCGCCACGGTTTTCGATCATCGAATTTGAGGGAATTTATAATCTTGCATTTGGTGTTGGAATTTAAAGGAGTGGGTGCTAACTTGCGCCTCCCAGTAGAAGAAAATCTGGGTGCATTTCAGACAAACCCAAATATAAAATGTTAACTGTTTGAAAAATCAATCACCTTTGTCAATCACCACACACACAAGACAAACACAGTTAAGATTTCTTGATGTAATAAAACCCCAGAAAAATAAAATTGAAGTGATAGAACTGAAAAAAGATAGCTCCTTTAAGCTCAAATCGAACTAAAAATCCGATCTTTAGATGGAAAAATGACCTAATTTCAAGAATTCGATTAAATACAGTTCTTGAAAAATGAATAATACTAGAAACCCACATACCTTAAAAGCTTCTCGTTCTTCACCTCCATTCTTACAACTCATGAAACTCGATCTTCTGTCTTTAAATGGAAATATTCATATAAATAAATAAATAAATAAAAATAAATAAATACATTAGTAGTGCAAGAAAAGAGAAAAATAGTTACTTACTAACCGGAATTAATTAAATTAAAAGGAATAAAACATTCTTGATCATGTTACTAAGTGTGATGACTGATGAGTGTCAGGGCAGATGTGCAGAAACAAACCAAAAGATATAAAGAAAAGATTAAAGAATTATAACCAAGATTCAGAACTTTTGTTTAATTATTAAGCTAATTAATTGCTAAAAAGCAGATCAATATATAGTTGATTGAGGAGTGGCCATTAAAATATACATTTCCTACCAAAGACAATCACATCAAATTAATCAATAAATCATGGTAGGTAGATATCTTGGAATTCTTTTTCAAGAAATTAGTTGGGATGGCTGCTTATTTGACTTGAACAGGACCCTTGTGTTATTTTTATTCCTTGCAATAAAATACAAAAAGTTGAGTTTGAGGTTTAAATCACTTGAAATTTTGCCACCATAATAGGAAATGATGTATGGGGCTCAGGTCATCTCATTTAGGGGTGTTCTTTCGGTTCGGTAAAAAATGTATCGAATCATATTGGAATTTCGGTAGTTCGAAAGACTAAATCGACAATTGCTTTTAAACTATTACTTTAATTCATAATTGTTATTATACATCTCTTTATTCATTGCCGAATTTTCTCAAAGAGATAGGTTAAAATTAATTTGAGAATTTATTCATTGAACTTTTATTTTAGTGAGTATTTCTTTTATTCAAAATAATGTGGTGAGATAACTTTTATTTTAGTGAGTATTTCTTTTATTCTAAACAATGTGGTGAAAAAATTTACTCTTTTGCCCTTAAAAGCTAAATTTTGAAAATAGTGGAGAAAAGTTAAAAGGGGTATTTTAAAGTTCAAAACTTCCACTATCTTTTGTGATTTTGCTTACATAGCTAATTCCATTTATTTGAAATTGAAAGATTATTTATCCCGAAGTTTTCTTGAAATGTGAGGGTATTTATCAAAAATAAAAACTTCATCTTACAAGATCATGTCGTTGAGAAAAGTAAATGTTATGACGGATCTTCTACTAGAAGTTGAGATGAAACCCGTATAAAAACCTCAAGTATTGGTATCAATTGAAGAGAAATATGATATTCTCTCAACATTAAAAAATCGAAAGATCGTCTAAAGATCTACCCTATAAAGGTGTAAAAATCATTGATCAACATTAAAAATTTCAAAAGAAATGATCATTGATCTATTAAAAATCTATCCTATAAGGATGTAAAAAAATCATTAAGGGATGGACATAAATTCGTAAGGGAGTCACCTTCGGGAGTAATCCAACCTTTGTAATTGGAGACCCCATGAAGAAGATTCAATGTTATAGGAACAACTCGTAAATGCATGACTCATTAATCACTAAAATATTTATAAGGAGAGCCCCCACTCCCATCCCTATGGTTATAGTGCTTTAAAGTGTGACGATAATGATGAGTTTAACTTTAATGAAATCAAAGTGGCAATACGGTAGGGTGGTGGTCGCAATTACCCTTGGAGGTTTCACCTTAGTTAAAGTGGTGCTATTAGGCCGTGGCTTCGGGTTTAGGCTGGCCCTAGAAACTTTCATGGGACTCAAGATACGAGCACATGACGGATAACGAGCTAACCCACTTGAACTGAACCAATATCGATATTGTGTGTGTTATGTATTGAAGTTTTGGCAAGAGACATAATTTAATGCGCTTGTGCCATTACAATTCCCTCAACTGAAAATCATAAACACTAAGTGCAGGCTCAAGCTCGGAAGGCTCCAACAAACATTGCACAAAAGTGCCCTACTTTTATATATAAGTATGCATGCATACATACATTTTAAGTTCTAAAACCTTATGGTCGATTGTTGCAATTTGAGAAACTTTTAAAACTTAAAGTTGCTTTTAATACTTTAAATTATTGTTATGTCACATCCTCCTCAGCAGCCATGATGCACATTAAAACATATTTGATCCTTAAGCTCACAATAGTCCTATAACTAGGGCCGTTAGCTCATTTGCTAAGAAACAACATAGCTGATATATCTAATTGGGCAGCTCAATGGGCCTACGATTTATTTATTCACTGGGCCACGAGCGCAATATAGAAGACCAATATTATCGAGGCCGAATCACATTCTGTTATAATTTATTTCGTGCAGATATAAATTATTTGTGTCAGATTCAGTTTTTCGTTACTGTTGCGTGAAGTGTTGCAACAGTTCGTAAAGCAGTTCGTAAAAACAGAAATAAACGAGACACAAATTTAATGTGGTTCGGATACAATTGTACCCTACATCCACGGGGACCTGCTAATGAAATTTACTAATTTTTAGTTTTACGAATACAATAGTAGGACTTTAATCAAAATACAAAGACTCCCTCTTTGTTGACGCCGTTCTTGTATACTACGCTGAATTATAAATCTTCAATTTGCAGCACGTCATTTGCTCCGCACTGTTGAACTCCCTTCAACGCTGAATCCCTCAGTCGGCGGATCGATCTCCTCCCGATATCTGTTTAAGCCCCTCTCCCGAATAACCGATCTTCTTTTTGTATAGAAGAAGCAAACTTGTGATAATCCTTGAATCTTGGTGTCTTCACCACAAAGCCTTGAAGCCGATATATTTTCTATGAAAATCACGTATCACAATGGAGCAATAAAAACGAGAGGAAAAACATATTTTCTCTTAACTCTTCTCTCGATAAAAAGTCGCCGGAAGAGCAACAAGGAAAAGAGAAATATTTTTCTCTCCAAAAAAGCACACAACAGCAACAAAGAAAAGAGAGATCAGTTTCTCTCCAAAAAGACACGAAGTATGCTGTTGCTGCTTCTCTTTTTTATATAGCCTGGGAAATACTCCTGTATAAGCAAACAAATTAAAGTTAGATACGTACAGGAGATTTATAAGATACATATCTAATAATATATTATTAAAATAAAAGAGAGATCCCATATAAGTAATAATATTCCAATTAATGACAATATAAGAAAAATAAAAAATGAATTATCCCTTCTCTTGATTCTCACACGTCTGTGTGAAATATATGGAATGAAAGAATTCTTCTTTCACAAGACTTCTACACAAGTCATTAAGTTAAGAATAACTCTTTTTAATCAATAAGATAGTTTATTATATAAAAGAAACAATTAATGACAAATTAAAGAATTAAAGTAAACAAGGAGACTTCCCTTTTGTGTTTCACGGTACATAAGGACTTGTTGCACAAGTCTTTACTCATCCCTTGTTTATTAGAATCCAATTATATTCTAACACATTCAACTAAGGTTTGGGCCCGACAATCCCAACTAATTAAACTTCAGCTCAATCGACAAGGTATAAATAAAGAGTTAATTCATTTTGTAAAATGTACGTTATTTATTCAAAGCAATCCAAGTGTTTATTTTCTCTCCAAAATCTCCATGAGTTGAGCGTCGGAGGGGTTTCCGCCGGATCAACCCCGACTTAGTTTACGTGAATTCTATTTGCAGGACTCTCAGGACCATCTAGCTCGTGAGCCAGTGATCCACACTCTGCTCTCCCAACTCGTTTTACTCCACTACTCAAGATGATCTACTATTTAGCATCATAAACATATAACACTAAACATACAATTCCTATCAAAGACAATCACATCATATTAATCAATAATTCAATAATTCAATAATTCATGGTAGATATTTTGGAATTCATTTTGAACAAAAATTTGGGAATGGCTGCTTATTTGACTTGCACAGAACCCTTGTGTTATTTTTATTTCTTCCAATAAAATACAAAAAAGTCTATGTGAGTTTGATCTTTTAATCACTAAGTTCGATTCATAGGGTCTGATTGCAATTTGCCGCCCATAATTCCTGATGAGTTCTAATAGGAAATATTATAAGGGGTCTCTCAAACCGCCCTTACGTGGGCTGTTCATTCGATAAAATCGTATCGAATCGTACCAGAATTTAAGTAAATCGAAATTTCGGTACATCAAAATTTATATTGTTTATCGAACCGAACTATTCGGTTCGGTACAGTTTTTACTGAATTAATTCAAATTTTCGGTTTGGTACCGGTAAAATCGAAAATATATTTTTCTTGTATTAAAAAATATTTACTAATTAATTTTTGAATTTGACATTCAAAGGCCCTAAAAACAAAAGGTGATTATCAATAGAGGCTAATTTGTAAATAATGAATTTTTTTTATCAATCTATAAGTATTTTATAATTTGTTATAACCTTATAAGATTTAAAATAAAATAAAGAAAATATATATATTATATATTCGGTATACGGTACGGTATAGTATACCTGGATATCATTACCGTATACCATATCGAATACCGAAATTCAAATTTTTTTTTTACCAAGACCGAACGAAATTTGGCATGTACCTACTGAGTAAACACCCCTAGCCCCTGTATAAATTGTTTGAAATAAAATTCAACACATGACATAAACATTTTCATACAAAATGGCCATTTTAAAAGTAATACAAAAACAAATTGAGCTCTTCTTAAATTAATAAATGAATATTTTTTTGGAACGTAGACTTTTATAATTAATACATTAAAAAATTTGAAATACTATTTTTGTGATAAAATATAACCCGTTTATTATTTGTATCAATTTTGCATTAAATTATGGGTTAATGGTAAAGAGGCCCATGACAAGGCACTTAATTAAAAATGGGAAATACATTTTTTTTATTTTTCAAATATTTCCGGTTCATTCAAACTTATTTGCAAATAACGAAAACGCTTTTATATATACTAAAATTACCCCAAATTCAACTCCAATTTCATGATTTACACATCAAATTAGCCAATGTCACCAATTAACCAATTTTGACCCGCCACCACCGGAGACCGCCGGTCTCTGGTCTTAACTTTTTTATTTTCCGGTAGGTCAACCACCGTTGACCGCCGGGTCTCCGGCGTTGATTTTTTTTTCTTTTTCTTAAAAAAATATTTAATTAATATTACTGTCTTGGCTGCTAAATTACCGTCTCTATCAGTTATTTAACTGTCGGAGATAATAATTTAAATGTTAATTGACTTTTTTTTTTCTTAAAAAAATATTTTAATTAATATTACTGCCTTGGCTGCTAAATTATTGTTTCCAGTAGTTATTTAACTGTTAATTGACTTTTTTTTTTCTTAAAAAAGATTATTTTAATTAATATTACAATCTTGGGTGCTAAATTTCCATCTCCAACAGTAATTTAACTGTTAATTGACTTTTTTTTTTTGAAAATTTGTTTTTTCTTAAAAAAAATATTTTAATTAATATTACTGTCTTGATTGCTAAATTAATGTCCCCAACAGTAATTTAACTATCTCAGACAGTAATTTTATTGTAGTAATTAATTTTATCGTTTTGGCCTGTAATTTTGCTGTCTTCGACTGTAATATTAATGTTTTCACCTGTAATATTACTGTCTCCGACCGTAATATTACTGTTTCATGGAATAATATTACTGTTTGGGACAGTAATACTAGTAATACTACTGTTCGGGAAAATAATATTAGTAATATTACTGTCTGGGACAGTAATATTACTGTCTGAGACAGTAATTTAGCAACCAAGACAGTAATATATTAATTAAAATAATTTTTATCTAAGAAAAAAAAAAGAAAAGAAAATAATAATAAAAAAAATCAACGCCGGAGACCGGTCGGAAAAAAATTTCAGAAAAAAAAAGTCAACGCCGGAATCTGACTGGGAAAAAAATTTTCAGAAAAAAAATTATTTTCTTAAAAGAAATATTTTTTCAAAAAATATTAAAATGGGGGTTACTGTGATATATTTGTTTTAATTTGGGGTCAATGTGTAATATTAAGGAAGTTAGAGTATAATTGATGGACTTGATAAAAAAATAGATTATGAATGGTATTTTAGACTAAGATATGGGGATGAGTTTATTTGAAAGACAATTTTTTTTTTGGACTAATATGCATTTAAGTCCCATGTTATGTCCCTCTTTGCCATTTGCCCATAAATTATTTATGAACTACATAAAAAAAATGAAACACGAAATTTTTTTTCCCAAAGGAAATAATTGAAGCTTAGACCCCCCTCATTTCCAAATTATATAGAACTAACTATCAAGTGGATTACAGTCTAGGGGAAACCCCCCTCATTTCGAAAATATTTTGACATACCCCCCTGGGCCACCCTGAAGTCCCTATAATACCCTTGTTAAATCAGTTTTAAACCCTAGCCCAACACATTTCGGTCTCTCTCTTCCTCTCCCAGATTCAAAATCCCGCCTCCACAAACCTCCCACAGGCGAAATTGCTTCCCGGAGTCATAACTCTCTATCCGGTGGTCGGAATTCGATGGTTTAATTACCGTTGGATTCCTCTCGTTGAGCTCTTTCTTTTGGTGGTGATTTCATTCAGTTTGGAGCGCTGATCTTTTTCTGCAATTTTTTTTCATTCGACGACGGTGGTCTTGCCGGAAGTGTATTTGGTGTTCCACCAGTCGAAATTTGATGGGCTACCCACCGTTGGATTCCTCTCGTCGAGATCTATATTTTGATGGTAATTTCGTTTATTTTTATGTTTTCAGATTTATTTCTATATTTTTTTGCATTTGTGGGCGCGCGGAATCATAGGTGGTTATTAGCGGCGGCTAGGGATTTAGTAGGAGGCGAGGGGGTGAGGAGTCACTGTCTGTTTGATTTCAAATTTGTAGCATTTCCCAGCAATAACCTCTCTCTATCTCTCGATCTCTTAGTGGTTGTTGATTTTTGAGTATTTTGATGTTTCTTCAAATTTTGTTGATTTGCACTAAAGTAATTTTTTTTGTCTTGATTTTGCAATTGCAGCTTAATGAAAACCATTGATCCTCCCATTGAAAGTGTCAAAAATTTGGTTGAAGTTACACCTACTTGAAGTTACAGTTTTCAAGAAACTGTATACATTACTATACATTACTATAGATATAGTAACATGTAGTTAAATATGCCTATTTTTGTGTATTTTCGATTTGTATTTTTATTGGTTATGAGGTGATTAATAATAAAAATATTGAATTTTGTAAATGTTTGCTGGGGTATATGATTTTTTTTTTGTATAAGCCAGTATTCGTGTGTATACAATTGATCGACTAAAAATATGGGGTAAAAAAACGAACATAACTACGAATTACTATATGTACTATAGTTACATGTAGTTATTTTCAGTACAGTAAACATATTGTTTTGAAAATTAAATTTTTTTTTTTAAATTAAAAAAAAATTAAAAAATTAAATATATAAATAAATTTAACAAACAGGTTTATTATTAAAAAAAATAAAATAAATAATAATAAATAAATCAGCGAAAATGATAAATGCAGGACCAGAAATGCTGAATCCAGTTTGGGCAAAAATTGCATATAAGGGTAGCATAGGACTTTCACTTTTATAGGGGGTATGTCAAATAATGATTTGAGCTTGAGTTTATCCCTAGTTTATTTGGTGGCTAGGGGGTATGTGAAATAACCCCAATCTAATACTGAAATGATTTACGCGGCAGTAAAATTACGAATGTCGTTCACAATACATTTCCTTTCTCTCTCTAAAAACTCCCCAATTCACTCAAACCCCAAAACCACAAAAAAAACCACAAATTTCACAAAAATCCTAAATCCTTCTCACAATCCTTCCAAATCCGAAAATCTCCTCAATTTGAAAGGTAATTACTCATCTAAACTACTTATATATATTGAACTTGTTGTTAATTATATGAAAATCGAAGGAAAATCGCGATTTGGGGGTCAATTTTGAATAAAAACTGCGCATCTTCCACGCCCAAAATGGGAGTGTGAAAGCAGTTTTCACGCCTAAAACAAACGTGGAAACTGCTTTCCCACGCCCATTTTGGGCGCGGAAAATTGGTTTGGGCGTTCGGTCCGGACGCCGGTTCTGGACCGGTCGTCCGGTCCAATTTTTTTTTTTTATCCCTGTATAAATGACATGCTATATTATATTTAAATAATTGCTAGTTAATGAGCTTGCTCTGGCCTAGTTGGTCAGATGTCTCGTTTTTTCGCAATAGATCCGTGTTCGAGTCTTTCCAGCAGCGAATATTTATTAATTTTTTGCGAAGTATAACGAAGTCTATAAATACAATTCAATAATAATTTATTTTCAAAATGGCTGTAGCCTTGTTGGTTAGGTAACCCTGTGCTTCCAAAACAATGTCCCGTGTTCGAACCTTTGCAGCAGCATAAATATGTAACTTTTTTTTTATTAAATCTCAGTCACAGAGCGCGCCCAAATCGGGCGCGGATAACACTTTTACGCGGATAACACTTTTACGCGACCAAACCGGGCGTGAATCGGACTTTTTAGCTCCCAGTTTGGTCGTGGGTCGCGTTTTCAGGATTTAAAGAACAAAAACGAACAAATTTTACCTCATTAGATTCCATATCTCGATCCTCATTCGATGCACTCATTTTTTTTTTGCAAATGGCTACAATAACATGAGTTTTGGAATGATTTCTAATATAAAAGCTAAAATTGTAGAGAGAGAAAGAAAGATAGAGAGTGGATTTTTTAAAACGACATTCGTAATTTTGCTACCGCGAATAGCACCTCCCTAATATATAAGTGTAGAAGAGGAAAGAAAAGTATAATATGATTTTTATTTTGAAGAAAAAGAAGAAAAAAAAGGAGAATAAAATAAAAATAAAGAGAAAAGGAAGAAATAAAATGAATAAAATAGCAAAATAAAAAATAGTTTAATTAATTCCTTAATTATAGAGATAACCATATTAACAATATAATCCATCTGAATAGCTCTTTCTTCTTAATTAAGCAAAAGAATAAATTTTCATCTTCTCCTCCGATCTCTTTCCGCTCAAAACGACGATTCATCGTCCCAACCCAAGGCGGAGCTCCGCCTCTTCCAACCGCAGATCCGATCTGTATTCATTTGCCAAAAACCCAAGTTTTGCACATATGCATGTTTCCTTGATTTTCATGTGCCGTAAATAAACACAGGACCCGACCCGACCCGGCCCGACCCGAGAGAGCGGCTGGATAAGTACACCATAAAAAAGAAAAAGAGTAGCAATCTCCTGCTTTCAGAATTTACTACAACCGGTTTCGGAACCAGTTGCAGAGAAATGTAGAGTTTTCAATAGCAGCAGATTCCCCCCTCCCTCTTCTTCTCGATTCGATGGTTGACACGTCGTCGTTTTTAGCACGTTTACGTGGCGCATGGTTATACAACTCCCGGAGCTAAATAGTTGGTTGATTCGATCTGATTCTGCACAAAGCTTTCTTCTTCCTCCCTCAGCTGCCATCTTTTTCTTCTTAAGAAAACCCCCAAATCACAGAATTCGTTGCTCTCAGTTGTTTTTTTGATACGATTTTGTTTGATAGAATTCGAATTCACAGTATTTTCGAATATATATATATATACACGTAATTTGTAGTTTAATTCAGTAATGGCATTGTTTCGGAAATTGTTCTACCGAAAGCCGCCTGATGGACTTCTAGAGATCTGCGAGAGGGTTTATGGTACGCTCTCTCTCTCTCTAATTTTTTTTTTTTTTTTTATGAATTTCTCTCTCTAAATTTGATTTACATCGTTTTACTCAGAAATTACAGTATATCCCTATACATGTTGTTGGCTTCGTGCTGAATGAAAAAAAAAACGGATTGAATTTTTTTTGTTCGTATTGCAATTTAATGATTGTTAAAAAAAATTTGTATTGGTTGTTGCATAGTCGAATTAGATGAGCAAGTGTTGAATGCGAGTTGTTAACTAGTTGGGTGAATAGTCACTGATGCCTATTGCATAGAGTAGGGCAACCCTGTGATCTAGAGTTTAGTGTGTAAAGTTGATGAAAAATGGAAAATCGCGTTTCACGTTCGATAATTGGCAGATTAGAAATCATGCGTAAACTAGCATTTAGGAGAACTAATACTTGTGCTAAAGTATCATTTGTTCCTGTCATTCTTCGCCACATGCATATATAGTAATAAGTTTTGACATGTGTGTATCATGGTCCGGTTTCTCGTTTACTCACTTGTAGTGGTAATGTTGTATTTTGACGTATGCATTTTCTTTCGTTAGAATATAGCTTATTAGTGAAACATTAATGTGAACTGCAAAATTCTGGTTTAACTTAATTCTGGATGTATTGATCGTGAAAAATCTTATTTGGTGGAGCAGTTAGATACTTAGATTAGGGCAGAAAAATATATTTCAATTTCAATTTGTGCTTCCACATTAAGTGATAACGGTTTTGAAATTGGTTTTTAAATTAAACTTGCAGCCTAACAATTGCATTCTGCACATTCTTTGTTTCTACAGTGTTCGACTGTTGTTTTACGACCGACGCTTTGGGTGAACAAGATTACAAGGGCTATGTGGGAGGCATAGTCTCTCAACTTAGAGAGCACTACCCCGATGCTTCGATCCTTGCTTTCAATTTCCGGGAGGGGGAGAAACAGAGCCAGATGGCGAATGCTCTGACAGAACACGATATGACAATAATGGAGTACCCTCGTCAATACGAAGGCTGCCCGCTTCTTCCGATGGAGGTCATTCACCATTTCTTGAGATCCAGTGAGAGCTGGCTTTCACTCGGGCTGCAAAATCTGCTTCTCATGCACTGTGAAAGGGGCGGCTGGCCGGTTTTGGCTTTCATGCTGGCGACATTGCTAATCTACAGGCGGCACTACAGTGGGGAGTTTAAGACATTGGACATGGTGTACAAGCAAGCACCTCGTGAGCTTCTGCACTTGTTGTCATCTCTCAATCCTATTCCTTCTCAGATAAGGTACTTACAGTATGTGTCGAGGAGGAATGTTGCCTCGGAGTGGCCCCCGTTGGACAGGGCTCTCACTATGGACTGTGTCATTATTAGGATGATACCTAATTTCGATGGAGATGGTGGATGCAGACCGATATTTCGTATCTACGGACAAGATCCTTTCCTCGTCTCTGACCGTACGCCCAAGGTTCTGTTTTCGACTCCAAAGAAAAGTAGAGTTGTTCGCCACTACAAGCAGGTGAGCTCCTTTTGTTCTTTGTTTCTTGGGCCAAATTATGCTATTGCTAGTCGCTGCAGATCGTATGATATTTGTCCCTTGACCTGATCCTCGTGATTGCTTTCACTCCGAGTCACAAGTCACAACACTAATTCCTTCTTTAAATATCTAATATTATAATTTGAAAGATGGTTCTAAGACCTGATATGTGAAAACGATAAATATTTATTCATTACATGATTTTTTTATATTCTTTATGAATAATAAAGAGTGAATTTGGAAAATAATTCCTTATCTATGTAGATTGTCTTTGCTTACGGATTTACTATTTGAATAGTTTCAACACTGGATTTCTTCTTCGTGAAATAAGAGAGAAACTGATGTGAAAATTGCAAGTATTGTGAGCATGAATTCGTGAATCTTAACATGCTTAATTCATGTTGGCAAAAATAAATGATGTGATTTGTTGATTGAGAGGGCAACTCTATAAGCTTGTATGTGATGTTTCACTTATTACGTAGAAAATGCAGTGTAGGGTTTATTACAGGTCATGTGCTACTCAACACAACAGTTTAAAAAAAAAAGAGAAGTTAGTACAACAGTCACATGTAGACTGTCTGTAACGCGGACCACCTTTACTAGATTAAGATGGGCAAAATTTCCCCGATCCACTACATGTGCAATATGATTTACTCTTATGTTATCAGTTTGATATGGGTGCATCCATGATTATAGTACTTTGTATAGACGCTACTGATCCTTAACCACTAAAATCCGCACATTTTTCTTTGGTTATTTTTAGACAGAATGTGAAATAATAAAGTTCGATATCAATTGCCACATTCAAGGTGATGTTGTACTGGAGTGTATCAGTTTGCATGACGACGCAGAGCGAGAAGAGATGATGTTTCGAGTCATGTTCAACACAGCTTTTATCAGGTCAAATATTTTAATGCTCAATCGGGATGAAATCGACATACTGTGGGATGGGAAGGATCTATTTCCCAAGGACTTCAGGGCAGAAGTATGTTTTCTCGTACATTTTTCGACATGATTTATGATTCTCTAAGTCTATCATTTTTTGTAAGGAAAACTGTTGTATCAATATAGGTTCTTTTTTCGGAGATGGACACTGCTTCTTCTATAGTTCCTGTGGACATTTCCTGCTTTGAGGAGAAGGATGGCCTTCCGGTCGAGGCATTTGCTAAAGTTCAGGAAATGTTTAGTAGTGTGGATTGGTTAGTACCAAAAGGAGATGCTGCAGTCGAAGTTTTCCAACACCTGACTGCATCAAATGCAATTATCGAAGCTTATACTCATGCAGAAAAGTCTGAGTTGAATCATAGTTTTGAGACACTAGAACTTAAATCAGAATCTTCCCCGAATGCAGATATGGGTGATAAGCAGGTTAAGTATGGTGAAATTGAGGCAAATATATCTCCAGAGAGAAGAATAATTGCTCCTTTCGATCATTCACCGCCCTCATCAACTTCACCGCCTTATCAACTTTCAACTGCAAAAAATCTTCATTTCTCACCCGAACAAGAGTCTGACGTAGATGTGCACCGAAGTATGCCTAAGAAGGTTTTTCTTCAAAGTGAAGCTGAGACATCAACATTTAATCAATTTTCACCTTTGAAGGATAATGTATGTGTTCAAAGTACTTCTACTCCCCCTTTGAATGATCAGAGTACAATTGAGGCTCGTATATCTTCTCCGTCAGCAGATAGTCCTCGGAGCAATGATAGAGTCGTCAAGGATGCACCTCCTAAATCCGAACATCCTCCTTCAATATTTTCTTCAACGAAAGATGTGGTTGAAGGCAGTAGAGTTGCTCCACCTCCACCTCCACCTCCACCTCCACCACCACCTCCATCTCCATCTCCACCACCTCCAACTCTTTCTTCATCAATGATGGATGTAGGAAGATTTGCCACATCTGGATTGTTGATTCCTTCAAAAGTTGTGTTGTCAGATCCAAATGCTTATCAATCTAGCGGATCACCTACATCTCATCTTTCTTCTCCCGGAACACATGTTACTCATAAAACTGCGTCTTTTGCGCCTCCTCTGCAAAATCTGTATGAGAGTCCTGCTAAAGAGGATTCAACTGCTGCATGTAGTCGACCTGCACCTGCACCTGCAGTTAAGACCTCACCTCCATCGATCTTTACCCCACATTTGACAGATAGTTCAGCTGATAGACCTTCACCTTCTCAACCTCCACCCGCACCCCCTCCCCCACCCGCACCTCTTCTAATGTATCCTTCTCAACCTCCACCTCCACCCCCACCCCCACCTCTTCTAATGTGTCCTAACGAGAGTCCATCTGTTGTTGGAGGAAGGCCTCATCTTTCAACACCTCCACCACCACCGCCCCCTCCAGTTTCACCTTTAAGGAATAATTTGGTCGATCAACATGTTTCACCTCCACCTCCACCTCCTCTAGAGCCTCCTAAGGAAAGATCTAGTGGACAAGAGCCGCCTCTTCTTCCAGCTCCTCCGAATTTCAGCCATGGTGCATCTTCAGTCACCGGACCTGCTCCACCTCCACCTCCTCCAGAGCCTCCTAAAGATAGGTCCGGAGGAGGAGGACCCCCTCCCACTCAACCTATTCCACGTTCAGACTATGGTCCACCTTCAGTCACCAGATCTGACCCGCGTCCACCTCCACCCCTACCTCCTCCACAGCCTCCTAAGGAGGGGTCAAGTGGAGGTCCCCCTCCTCCTCCTCCACCTCCTATGAGTTCTGCGCCGAGTGCAGGACCCACGAATAGGTCAGCACCACCCCCGCCTCCTGCCCCTGCTCCGCCTCCTACTCCCGCTCCGCTTTCTGCCCCTGCTCCCGCTCCGCCTTCTGCCCCTGCTCCGCCTCCTGCCCCTGCTCCGCCTCCTGCTCCCGCTCCGCCTTCTGCCCCTGCTCCGCCTTCTGCCCCTGCTCCGCCTCCTGCACCTGCCCCGCCGCCTGGTGCCAATACAAGAAATCCTCCTTCGGTTCCTTCAGCACCTCCTCCCCCACCGCATTCCCCTAAAGGTCCTGCTGGTTTGTCAAATTCTGTTTCATCATCTCCTCCACCACCTATGGCACCACCGGGAACAAAAGGGAGGAGTTTATTATCTCGAACCGCACCTTCAAGGAATAACCAGTCAAAGAAATTAAAGCCGTTGCACTGGTTAAAAATATCAAGAGCAGTATCGGGTAGCTGTGGGCAGATGCACAGAAATCTGGTGAAGCTTCTAAGTAAGTATTCCTCATGTTTCTTCAGGCGAAACTTATTAATCATGCTCAATTTCCTTTGAATATATAGATTTTGGAGAAATCCCCTTTTTATCTTTAATTTTTCAAGGCTCTTTTATTTTTTCTCAATTGG